CCGAGACGCCACTAGAAGAGCTCGAGGAGTTCTTCGCTGGCGGAGTTGACGGAAGTGGGAAGCAAGAGTTTGCGGTAGTGACAGACGCGAGCAGGAAGTTCGTCCTGGGCGTGGCTACACGGGCGGATCTGGAGAACTTTGCGAAGAGGAGGGCATAAGCTGGTCTGGGATGCTCAGTGATGGGCAATGGAATAACCTCACAGGATGCATTGGCAGGCGTTTATCTGGTATACCCTATGGCAATGCTATGGAAGCTCAATTCAACACGGCTTGAAGGACAATGATCCTTGAAAGTACCTAGGTAGTCATATAAGACACAAGTAGCTTCTAGGCTGTCGCGAAACCTGGATATACATATCGTTGCGCCGTACAGCTTAAGGCAGAAGCTACAGAAAAACATATTAAAACCTGAGTAGTAGGTAAAGTGATACATGCTCTTTGAAAACATTATAAATACGTGTTTGCAGTACCTAGGCCCAACCGGCCTCGCGACAGCGCCAAAGGTGACGATCTCTAGCCTGTCCACGCTGCACTAATACCTACCTAGGTAGAAACGCGTACAAGACCATGTCCCGTAGATCATGTCTGTGCAACCTTACTCGACTATTTTAAATATCCTTGATCTTTTCATGGCCGTTTCTCGCGCGAGGTGAACCTTCAACTATCCCCACACGTCATGGTAGACGGCAATACCACCTGCTGACTCATGTCCTCTCATTCCCGATCCATGGTCGCCATGCGCAAACCGCATTCTCGGGTTCCCCACACACCGGAAGGTAGAGCGACGGCTCCGCATGGTTTTTTGGGTTGAACATTTCTGGACGCAAAAGTCCTCAACAGAACTTTTTCTTTCTCTGCATACCCCATCGCTGGCATGCTCGCACCTTCCTTTCGCATGCGCAGTAGACCCCTCCTCCAGCACCAACTATCACAAGCCTGGAGACTAGCACAACGAAAGTCGCCTGTATTCGTCTTCCCGCAACGTTCGAGATGGTCTTCTCAGCAAGCGTCCAAAGCGCAAACGGGCGCTGGCACGACTACGCCTGTGCCTGATAACGCTGCGCCGCCCAAGTCCAAGTTGCCTTTCTACTTCGAGGCTGGATATGCGCTCTTCGCAAAGAGGCCTTCGCGGCCGTTTCCTCCGCCTTTCCTGTCGCTGCCTTCGACGAGTTTCTCTGAGCCCCTGAGTACGCACAATAAGAGTCGTGATCGCCGACCGACAGTCAACGGGCAGATGATAAGAGGTGTCACAAACGGGGACGATGCGGTGCTAGTCAGTGAGAGCTTCATTGCAGCAAACGACGGCGTGGGCGCATGGGCAACAAGGGAAAAGGGTCATGCCGCGTAAGTCGCGTGCCGTCTGGTCTTCGGACGTACAAGTGCTAACCAATACTCTGCAGTCTATGGTCCCGTCTAATCGCACATTTCTGGTCCCTCGAAATCGAGAGCGCATCCTACTCCTCCACCTCACCTCCAAACCCCGTCACATACCTCCAGACCGCATACGAACTCACAAAGCAAGCGACCTCCTCGCCCAACGAATGGCACGGCACGACTACCGCTTGCGGAGCACTCCTCGGTGCAGATAACGAGCAACCCGACCACCCCTTGCTCTACGTAACGCAATTAGGCGACTCCCAGATCCTCGTCATACGGCCGAGTAGCAAGGAAGTCATATACAAAACGCAAGAGCAGTGGCACTGGTTCGATTGTCCACGGCAGTTAGGGACTAATAGTCCAGACACTCCGGACAACAACGCAGCCATGGATTGCGTGGAAATCCAGGAAGAAGACGTCGTCCTGGCAATGTCGGATGGTGTAGTTGACAATCTATGGGAACATGAAATCGTAGAGAACATCTGTGAGAGCATGGAGAAGTGGAACGGAGACAAGGAAAAAGATACAGAAGACCAGACTTATGCCGATGGAATGCAATTTGTAGCGCAGCAGCTGGTCAATGCTGCGAGAGAGATTGCTCAAGACCCGTTTGCTGAGAGTCCGTACATGGAGAAGGCCATTGATGAGGGCTTGTCCATTGAAGGAGGTGCGTACAGCTATCTGTATGGGCGAGGTACTTTGCTGACATCATTCTAGGAAAACTTGACGACATTAGTGTCGTGGCTGCACAGTGCAAACGGCGCAAAGGATGAAGCCGCGAAACGAGGTTTTGATGACTGAACTTCTGCAAAAGACTACAGACCTCACCACACGCCGATGACCCCAGAAGGCACCAACGTTCCGCTCTGGCTACGGAAGGCCACATGGCAAGGCCATGGGGAAGTACCGGATCACAGGTCATACTCGACCTTGTACCTCCGCGAGCGACTCTCCACGCGTATAATATTATGCCACAGCGCCACACCGAAGCCTAAGAGATATATCGCACCAAGAAGCCGTACATCAGTATCTACGCGAAAGCCGCATGTGCCACAGAAACGTATTCGGCGTTACTTTTTATGCCATAGAGGAGTCTGCGAACTGCACGGATTTCTACTGCATTTTCTATCGTGGGTAACTCATTTTGTATACTCGGCCCATGCTGCAACACTAGAGCGGCAAAGATGTATACGATGCACTGCATTGTTGTCAGGCATGTTATAGAAGGGGATTGGAAAAGAATGCTTTATGAGATTGAAAGAATGCTCAGGGTTGCGTTATATAAAGCCGTGTAGAGTACAAATGGCCATCAGAATATTAACCGGCGTAGTTGCAGTACAGACATTCTCTATCCATCCATGTCATCATGTTTCGAGGTCCTCCATGGCGCGTGGGCAAGGATATGGTTCAAGCATTTAGCGGAAAGCAGCGATTGAACCGGTCATAGTCGCCTTTTCCTTTGCTTTTCAGATGTAAACGGCAAGGACTGGTATCGATCGTATGCTCTCTTTATAGGACGGCACCGCCAGCACCGCTTCGCTTCTGCATAGGAAGAACGCGGTCCCGTTAAGCATGCCCTGCAGAGAGCGTGCTTATAGACAGCCTATGACTTAGGAGTTCCCTCTCCACGAGCCGGTGATTCTGTGGGTGAGCGAGTAACACGACGTCTAGCCCTACCAGTTTTGCTGCGAGATCGTGACCTGCTAGAGCTAACGGATCGTTTACGCTTTTTAATGTCGGCACGTGAGCCGTTTGAATCAGCCCCAGATGAAGTAGAACGTCTGCGCCGCCGCGGTCGTGCAGGGCTTATAGACATAGAGCTCGATGGGGAGCGGCGCCGGCGGCGGGGAGGAGTTCGTGATCGTGAACGTGATCGCAGCCTGGGTGCTGGTGAGCTCGACTTGTTTCTGACTGGCGGGGAACTAGATCGCGAAATGGGCCTGGGTGGCCTCCTGCTGTCCCGGCTCCGAGACCGGTCTCTCCTTCGTCTTGCAGGTGGAGACTTGCTACGGGAAGGAGACCGACGACGCGTACGACGAGGAGGAGATCTTGAGCGGTCAGCTGATGGGGAACGCCGCGGTCGACGTCGTGGTGGTGGAGATCGAGATGGTTCTGACGATGGTGAGCGACGTGTACGACGAGGTGGTGGAGATGCAGAACGACTGCCCGAGGGTGAGCGACGACGCTCGCGAGATCTGTCGCGACGGCCTCCACGTCCACGACCACGACCTCCTCCAGGTATGTAGACATCGCGCTCGCGATTCGGTGGGGAGGGTCTTCGTCTCCTGTCACATGTCAGCGGTCTTGATCTTCAGCGTAGACGCGTAGGACATACGGTGGTGATCTTGAGTCGCGATCGCGACGTGGAAGTCCTCTGTCGAAGTCTCTTCCACGGCCCCTACGATCACTACCACGATATCGTCCTGCTCCTCCCCCACGGCCACGTTCGGGGCCGCGTTCGGGTCGTTCCGAACGCTCGCTTTGACGGAACGAGTCAATCATGGCGTTCTGCGCTTGTTCTTCGGCACGACGAGCATCGGCAGCGGCTTTAGAAAGCTACGGGTTGTCAGCGATGGTAGATGAGCAAGCCTCTGAACTAACTTACCTGCTCCTGTTGCAATTCGGCTTTCTTCGCTTCGAGCAATTCTCGGGGGACGCCCATAGGACTATCCTGCGCACTCAGCATGAGATCCCATAGCTCTTTGCAGAAAGGTGCGGTGTCCTTGTTCAGGAAGCCCGTGAGCTGAATCTGGATTTCCTTGATTTTGGGCTGTAACGGTCAGCAAACATTCCGCTGTGTCAACTCGAGGATTACTGACGAATTGATTCTGCTCAATCAGATTGTAGCACGTCTCGACCACAATGTCGTCTTCGTCACCGAGAATAGTGGTGATCCTGTTAGCAATCCACTTCTTCATCAGGTCGATGTTGACTTTCTCGATGTCGACCTTCTTGTCAAATTCGGGCGGGAACTTTGTCGCCTTGAGGCGCTTCTGGTCGATGCTAAGCGCCATTTCGAAAAGTGAGGATAGTGTGCAGTTGCAAGAGGTATGGGGTGACGCGTGTGCGGGAAGACGAGTTCGCGACGGTGAAAGCTGGAGCTCGGGCGGGCCCATCTGCGGGCTTGGCGGCAACCTCCGGGAATTACGTCGTTCATGCAGGTACGACCGACGCTAACGCTGTCGTCACCCGTCCACCCGTCTCAGCCCTCACACTTTCCCTGCCACACCTAGAATTTAGACACTGCAGAAGGCGGTTCACGGCACATACTGCATCGTTGCGAGCACACTCGAAATACAAAGCCTTGCCATTGTGGTCATGAGTCTACTGTATTCGGCTTCGAACAACATGCTAAACTCAGCAGTTCAAGTTGGGAAAGGCTGAACACGTACTTGCTGTATTTACGCATCTCTTCCTGCCGTCACTCGCTCGGGATGTTTGGGTCAAGACTTCTCTTTCTGTTCTACAGTTAAGCTATCTCGATCAGATAGGATGTGGCCACAACCATCCACTTACCTGGGCCAGCATACCATCTCTCCCGCGTCCCATCTCACCACTCTGGTTGCTTTTCATAGCTCCTCCTTAGCATCTTTTGTCTATCATTAATTCCACCCTCACTTGTCATGGCGGAATCAGCTGCGGCTACGGACGTACCTCCCGTGGAGCGACCTGAGAAGCATACCAAGTCCAAACGTCCCATTAGGCCTGCGAAGCCCAAACATCATGGCAAACCATTACTCCCAGTCCCTGTCGACCCGCCTCTTAACCCATATCCTGAAGACACCGATACAACTGCACCTGAGCCGGACGTTGAGCCAGAACTACCCTCGGAGCCCGAGGCAGAGACTGAGTCACCAACAGCGGAACCACCGGAACTTGATTTCAACCCTCATCCCAATCCACCAGAGGAGGGCCCTGTTCGAATTCAGACTGATGGTACTACTGAACCGACACCTGAAGCTACCCCGGAAGAGCCTGCAGCTGAGCCTGAAGCTGAGCCTGAAGCTGAGCCTGAAGCTGCGCCTACCCCGGATCAGCCTCCCGCAGATCCTGCACCTGAGCCGGATACAGAACCTGAAGTTGCCCCCGAAGAACCAGCAGCAGACCCACCAGCTGAAGAGCCTGAAGCTGCGCCCACTCCAGCTCAACCACCAGTAGAACCTGCAGCTGAACCTCCTGAGCCTGTAGAGGAGCCTTCTGAAGAAAAGCAGTCTGAACCTGCCGCTGAACCAACACCTGACGGCGCACCAGAAGAGCCAGCAGAACAGCCTCCAGCTGAAGAGGCCGAAGCTGCTCCAGCTCCAGTCCAGCGTTCGGTAGATCCTGCACCTGAGCCGGAACCTGAACCTGAACCTGTACCCGAGGAGCCGACAACAGAGCCACCAGCTGCAGAGCCCGAACCTGAACCACCCGTGGAGGCTACATCAACAGAACCGCAGCCGGAAGCAGAACCAACGTTGCAGGTACCTGCTACAGAGCCCGTTGAGACAGCACCTGTAGAGCCTCCACCGCCAGTTGCTGACCCTGAACCTACGCCCGCGCCTGTCGAGAGTGCAGCCGAACCAGAAGCACCTCCTGAACCAGTGCCAGATGCACCAACAGAACCTCCACCTGCACCACCTGTCGCGGAAGAGCCCGAGGCAGCACCGGCTGCTGAACCTGAGGTTGCACCGGTGTCTAGGGCAGTAGAGCCAGAAGCACCAACGGAAGCAGCACCCGAACCGGGAGCAGCACCTGCATACACTGCCGCAGAGACCGAAGACCTGCCCCCTCAGCCTCCAGAAGCGCCAGCGCCGGAACCGGCACCGTCTGTAGCAGAAACGGAAGCACCAGCCCCTTCCGTAGCCACTACTGCCACGTGAGTACAATAGCTCCTCCTCCGATATCGCTATACTACACTACCCTTACTTTCATACTAACATTCACCAGCAAAACCCGCAAACGCGACAAAGTCAAGCTACTCGCGGCGATGCGTGCCCCACCCGAGTCCGTCCCTATAATGGTGCTTCTTCGCCAAAAGAAGAAGGCTGGTGAGGATGTCAAGGCCATTGCAGATGCCATGCTCGCGTCCGCGGGGTCTTGAAGTGAACTGGAAGATTGGTATTTGGATCGTGGTGGTGAACTTCAAGTCTCCCTAAGAATTCCCTCTACCTGGCTTTGATAGCCGATTCCTATGTAGATGCTACTCGTAACTCAATGTCATCATTACCCTTGTCTTCGTTTACGTGTAACGTCTCTTCTCTGCTCCATACCGTACATGATAAAGATCAAACTTCTCGTAACACGCTCTTCTTTACCTATTACAACACGTGTAAGAAGGTTGCTGTGTTGATACAAAAGTAGCCCAGACGGCTACGATTCCCTGGCATCCTCAACAAAGTCTTCCCATATATCGATGTAGGCTGCAGTACATAAGATGCACCTAGTGTTTCCTGTTCAGATCCTTCCTTGTATACCGTAACTCCACGCAAGAAGTTACTATGGACATGCAGTGAAGTTCATGTAGACATCACAATGTCTCCATCCGTCTTGACGTTCCATCCATTCCGTCTCCTCAATAGCCGGCGCACAAGCTCCGCTGTCGAGCATGACACCAGACATGGCTCGCTCCTAACCTTCGCCACCAAGTCCCCTCTTCTCGCGCTGGGCTTCTCCCAGCACTTCTCCATACTCCCACTCATAGTTGTGTAATCGCAATCCCTCCTCCAACGTCCTTCACCCCCCAACAGCCTTCCTAACCAAACTCCTCGCTTCCTCCAGGCCTCTGCCTAACTCGCCCCTCTTATGCGCCTCCTTGACCTCGTAGTGAAATTTCAGCAGGTCTTTTGCGCGCTTCAGCTCTGGGTCTTGCTCCTCGTCCCCCGTTGTTGTCGATGTTGGGTCTGTTATTGGTGTCTTTGCGGCGGCATCGTGAGAAGATCGGGACGATGTTGATGTGGAGGTGTTCGAGTGCGCGGATACGAGGGCGAGTGCTGCGGCGGGATCCTGTGAATAAGTTCGTGTTAGAAAGAGTACAGGTTTGTTGGAGAGATGCGCGTGGTGTAAAGAGGGTAACGTACACAAACGCGCAGGGAGACGAGGTCAGATAGTATCTCCGCGAGTTGCATTGTGTTTCCTTGGGTTTGCGCCATCTCTGCGATTGCTGACGAGAAGCCTGAGAACTATTTGGTCGTGTTTTGCAACAGCTGTGTAATGCAGCAAGTGCGGGTTCTGATAGTTTGGTCGCGATGCGAGCGCAAGTGGGATGCATGGCCTGGAAGCTCTGACGTTCACCCCACATCTCGGTTCCCAACTCCCCGTGGCGGGCAGGGGCCCAGATCAAAACTCCCCCGTCAATTGCCGGCTAAGTGCTTTGCCGCAGACGGTGTGCGACTTTTGCTTTCAATTATCTCTGCGTACTTTTGGGATATTGTCTTGAATACGTTTGTTGGTTATCGTTATGGCGAGTATTCAAGCTATCAGGGCAAATTGCCGCAAGGTAAGTGATTTCATGTCGTGTTCGCGTTATTAACGGGTTAGGAAAGGAGCAAGAGCTGGGAAGCGTGTGCTAGTGAGGTTTGCAGTTGTAGAGTTGCTCATTTGTCATCCTATGTGAAGACATGTGCCATCTCTCTGGCATGCGTGTTATGAAGGTTCAGATTGGGACCCTTGAAAGGAACACGTTTTGGCAGAGACGCTCTTTGTGCAATCTGACATGTTACAGGTCATGTGCATAGGCAGAAACTATGCAGACCACATCAAGGAGTTGTCGAGCGCTACGCCTAAGCAGCCCTTCTTCTTCCTGAAGCCACCATCGTCCATTTTGCTGCCGGGCGCTGGCCCAGTCCTACGCCCACGTGGTGTAAACATGCACTATGAAGTTGAGCTTGGACTTATCATGGGAAAGACATTGAGGGACCTACATCCCGAAGATACTAAGGGTGCTATGGATGCTATCGAAGGTACTTGGAACGCCATACATCCAGCCAAACATAACAGTATATCGAGATCCATCCGACTAACATTCACGACCCAGGCTATATCCTCGCTATCGATATGACAGCTCGTAACGTACAGGACGAGGCGAAAAGAAAAGGACTCCCATGGTCTATCGCAAAAGGCTTCGACACATTCATGCCCATCAGCAACTTCATCGCGAAAAACCGAATCCCAGACCCACAGAAAGCACACCTTTGGCTCTCAGTTAACAACGAGATGAAGCAGTCCGACAACACTGAGCTGATGCTTTTCCGAATCCCAAGACAACTGAGCGACATTAGCAGGGTCATGACACTGGAGAAGGGCGACATCGTACTTACGGGAACCCCGAAGGGTGTAGGCCCAGTGAAGACAGGTGACGTTATGCGTGCAGGACTCAAGGTGGATGGAAAAGATATCGAGGAGGCAAATTTGGAGGTGCCAGTTGCGGATCGCGAGGGGTTGTACGAGTTCAGCGAGACATAGAGCCAGTTCCCTAATCGAGGGCAATCAATGAGGCTCGTTCGCTTCCGATGGATACCCAAAAGCATCGAGTTCCGATACCTCTTGTTTCGTCCTGAGATGATTTTTTCTAGTACCAGACCCAACAGCTAGCTCAACTCGGCTACCCGTATTGCGCGAGCTCGAAGGCTTAGGAATGGCCTTCAAACGTGACAGTGGCGCTGCTGCTGCTTTACGAGGTGACTTCTTAGCTCTGTCTGCCACAGTGGTTTGCATATCATCGTCCTCACTACGTTCAATCCCTGTCGCTTTCTGTGGAATGCGTAGAATGACAACGAGCGACTTTCTCTCCTGTTCGTTCGAAGCACTCGGCCAAGCTGATGAGGGGTTCCTCCTCTTGGCAGGTGAGGTGGTGGCTTTAGGTACGTTCGACTTGGCAGGACTTCTCGTAACCAGCTGAGTGGGTTCAATTGCCGTGTTTTTGCTTTGATTTACAGCAACACTGCGCTTCGTGGTTGTTGGAGCTCTGCCGGTGGGCCGAATCGCTGTGCTGGATCTGGTCTTGCTATTGCCTGGTCCTTGATCCTGGGCAGTCTTTTGCTTCTTGCGCGATGAGAGAGCTGGTTCGACCAACTGTGTTGGTGGGAGGAGTGATTCGCTATCTGTTACGTGCGGCTTTCTCTCTTCAGCATCCTGTTCTTGAACCCTCTTAGCTTGGGCACGAGTCAGCCTTTGGGTCTGGGGCTCCTTCGTAGGCTGCTTTCGCTTTCGTGTAATGGCGTTGCCGGTCAGCTGCGTTGGAGGCGGAGCGACTCTGGCACGCGGGCGAGGTTTTCGCGTAGGAACCGGCACTGGAGCTGGGGCTGGGGCTGGGGCTGGAATCGGAGCCGAGACCGAAGGATGAGTCGGGCGGTCGTGATGGACCAGCTGTGTTGCAACAGGAGCAGCACGTACTGGTTGAATAGGCCTTGGAACAGGTGTTCGGACTTGTCTCTGTTCCTCTGCAGGATGTGGCAACATAGAGTTGTGGATCGAAGGCCTTTGCATCAGTCTCTGTCTTGCTGACTTCATTGGATGACCTGGAGGCACAGCTAAAGCAGAAGTATCGACTAGTCCCCTGCAATAGTCGTTAGCGTTACCAAAGGTCGTTCCGAAGACCGCTCTTACCTCTCTCTCATCTCTGGACTCCGGGGTATCTGAATCTCTTCACCTGCAAACCCAGGCATGAGTATCAGGTCTTCATCGTCCGTGTCACTTGTTGCTTCTGAAGTTTCTGCGTTGAGTAATTGAGACGGTGTCATGGATCTCAGCATGCCATGTTGAGGCTTGGAAACGGTCTGTGGGCCAGCGGTGTTGGACTTGGAATTGGGATCCTGTCGCGTAGATCTAAGCCGGGTGACTTCTTCCTCTAGACTCTTAATCCGACGCTCATCTTGATTACGACCAGCCTCGAGGAAATCAAGACGTCGAAGAACATCCTTCATTTCCCTGGGGACCTGTTTGAGCTTTTCGAGATCGTCCACAGCATGAGACACAACACTGTCCAGCTCGATCTGCTTCTGCCTGACGTGCTTGTTCGTGTCGACGAAGATGCCCAGACGTGTCATCTCGCCTGCTGCCCACTTCTCGAAAGCCTTGTCATCATCTTCGGCCTCGATCGCTACGAGCTGTTGCTCCAAGTGGCGGACCCTGGACGTAGCAGCTTCGGCAGCCTCTGCAACATGCTCGGTAGATCTGATGCGGGCTTCGTATTCTTCATGATGCTTCTGGAGTGTTCGCATCTCCGTGAGCAGGTGGGCGTGCTGTTGTTTCATCTCTGGCCCCCATAGCAGTGCCTCCGCCGATGCGAATGGCATACGTGAGTCGACATCTGTTGCCGAGCTAGGTCTTCGGGGACCCATTGCCGGGGGATGAGAGTCAGTGACGATAACCTGTTAGCTAGTACGATGCGGTGATGGGGGTAGGTAATGTTGCCGGGGAGGCAACGTAGGCAACGCTGATCGCTACATGCGAGGATACGAGAATGACTGGCTGTGTGCGCCGTAAGATGAGAGACGATATTCGTCACGCCATGGTGGGTCCGGTCGTAAGAAGCAGGCACGACGTGAGCGCGGCTTCCTCAGTCGAGGAGCTCCACCAAGCCGGCACATCTCGGCCACTTTATCCAAGTAGAACGTCAAATGCCAACTTGCAGAGGACTGTGGAAGTGGGTAACCTGGAAGTCTGGATTGAGTTAATATTCTGCCGACTTTCGTTTTGATACCAATGTTGATTGCAGCGCCTGCTGAGGTTCTTGAACGGGTGCGGCACTACACTTACCGCAACCCCTCAAAGAAGTCCAGATCACAGGATGAGTAGTGAAGTAAACTCTTTCTTATTTCATGCTACCTACTGAGTACCCGCCACTTCCACTCAATCAGATCAAGCAGTACGCTTCGGTCCTTTCGGCGCATCTATTACATCATCTCTCTTCATGATGCGAATCTTGGTGTCTTTCTTTGCGCTGTCTCCATCGGATTCAGATTCCTTTGGCCGTTCCGCCACACTCTTGTCATAGCTACTCGGGTCGATACCAAGAATGCCACCTACATTGTTGCGGTCACCGGGGACAGAGAATTCGCGGAAGGCATAGCGCCATTCATTTAGGAAGCCGCGAATAGCCTTGCCAACTTTGTCCTTGCCGTTCTTGGAGTGGTGACCCGTTCCTGTAATAGCGTAGACGGGACGCGAAGAGGAGCTGTGCTTCAGAAGGATGCCTTCGAGATACGAAACCGACTCATCTGGATGTAGACCTGGGTAATGTTAGTCTTGGTATGAACACACAATCTATCTCGACGTACCATGAAGATCAACATACAGCTCTCTCGAGCCGTCGCTGTCCTTATTGCGATCTTCGTAAAGGATACGAGCAGCTTCACGGTGAGCTTCACGCATCAGGTTGTTCTCACTCTGCCCCCTAAGACTAAGAGCTTTAGCCGCGCGCGAATCGCTGCGATTCCAAGCTTGAGCAGCACTGTTGTATGTTAGTGGTGAATGCCGTAGGACGAGGCATGCCTCTTACCTCTGCAAAAACTTGTTGCGCAGACTGCCATGCTTGAAAGCCTCGGCGCGAGCTTTGAGATAAGCCTGATTGCCCTTCTCACCGGTCTCCAACCACGGGATGTGCTGAGGAGCAGGTATCGCCTGGGCAGCCACACTGTTCTCGCGAGATCCTGTGAAGCTCTTAGTCGGTCTCAATCCCTTGCGAGCCGGAGTGGCAGGAGCCGGAACGGGCGACATGCGAACGACATCTGCAAGATTGTTAGGTCCTGGAGCATCTTTGTGATGGCCATGTCCACCTCGCTTGCCGTGGTGACGCTTTCCAGTCTTAGCAGCAGCAGCGGAACCCAGACTAGGGAAAGCGTCGTTATCGTCCACTGCGAGCACCGAAGGTGTGGTGGCACGCGAGGTCTGGCGACTGCCGGTTCTAGACTGCGGGCGACTACCGCCTCCGGGAGTGAAGTTTGCAAAAGGACTCAGTCCTGGTGGAGGGCGTGTTGGGCCACCGCCTGTCAGACCGTAGAGTTGCTCTAAAGAGGTGGCGGCAGAGGTTATCGACGGGGTGCCTAAGGGCGAGCCGTTGTAGTGGAGTGTGGGGAACTCATAATCGGACATCTGGAAGTTGGGTATTGGTGGAGTTTGGACGTCTGATACAGCCATACGAGCCATGAGCGCAGAGGGGTCATGTGAGAAGAGGCACGTATCGCCAGCCAGGCAGTTTCCGTTTAGAAAGTATCTGTGTCGGGTATTAGTTCTGATCGTAGCGGAGGCTGTATGTATACCTACTTGCATAACGTCTTGCTGGTGTCATGGCTGAATCTGCAGTCTGCTCGGGCGCAATGTCCGGTTGACAGAAAGTACTTGCACACGATGTTGCTCTTCTGCTGGCCCACGGGTGTACTAGGCCTGAATGCTGGGCTCATAGACTTTCCGATGACGTATCCGGGATGCTCGGAGGGTGTGGTAGGGAGTTGTTGTACGTCGAGTTGCTGTCCCATGAGTGCGAGGAGAGCGGCACTGAGGTCGTAGCCATTGGCCTCTAAGACCTTCTCTAGCTCTTCGTCTGATCGGTCGTCCCTGAGGATCGAGCGCAGCATGTCGTATGGGCCCATGTCCATGGTCTGGGGCTGCACCCATTCGGCCGCGGCACCGTTGAGCGTGCCGTCGCCCAGGAGAGACGACTCGGTGCTCGCGGCATCATCGTTGACTAGCCAGTCGACGGAGTGGCCATCGAGGTCGCCATACGACTCGGTATTGGGACTTGCGCATTCGCTGAACTGGTATGCGCTCAGGCTGGGGCTGTGGGGGATATGCGGTGTGGAAAAAGCAAGGCGAGGCGAGGGTCGCGGGGAAGTAAAGGGGGACGCGGTGGACGACTTTGTGCGCGCGAATCCAGGTGGCATGGGGAAGCCCGGCGGAGGGTGTACCATGCGCGGCGAGGCGTTGACAGGAGTAGGGGCGCGATTGGCCTGCCAGGGAGCTGGCGAGGGCCGGCGGATGATGGTATGGCGGCTGGGGGGAGAGCTGGAAGAGCTGCCGGCGTCGCGATAGCGCCAGAGGCAGTCTAGGACAATGTTCTCGAGTGATTTGCCCGTGAGGTTGGTCTCCTTGCGCATCAGCTCCTCGAGCTTGTCCGTCTTGTCCTCCTCATCCAGGGCCTCGTCCTGCAGCACAGGCAGCGCCTTCTCGTACAAGTCGTCGGCGACCATGGCGATTACTCCCAAGCGGGCAAAGGATACTGGGCGATGGGTGTTCAGGTGTGGCGCGCAGGACGGGTGAGGTCAGAGGTCAGAGGTCGGGGTCCAGGTCGAGACAGGAGGCCGTCGGGGGTGATTACAAGTACTGCGGGTAATGGCAGAGGAGCGACCGGCGCGTCACAGGAGGAATGAAGCTGCAACGAAGGGCAATAACCAGTCCCGCAGCCTTCTTCTGCAGGACACACCAAGTGCGCCAAAACGGGCAGAGTGATGGAATGCCTGGGGCGATCTCGAGCGCGAATGAAGCTCAAGGGACTAGGCTCAACTACGTAGGGGTGGGGGATGCTTGCACCGTGCAGCAACGTCGACCATACAGCGGGAACGGTAATCTCCAGCACTTGCTCCCGGTCTGCCCTACATGGCCCTGGAGCCTCGAGCGGGTGATGATGCGGTGCGAACGAGTCTCAGCTGAGCGTGATGATGACTGGGACTGGATAAGAAACAAGTGCTGCGATGGCATTCGTCGGCGGAAAAACAAGCTGCAACATATGCCTCAAGTACCTCGAATAGGGCTATGGACGCCACACCTGGGCAGACTGAGAGGCTGAGTAATCACGTGCTTTGCGTGCAGGTGGGTCCGCGGAACCATCCATGGGTGCAGTACATTGTAGGTTGCTCGGAGCTGTCTAACATGACCAGAGCACATGTCATACACAGTCTATGCGCATACAATGCTGCAATCACCTTATACACGAAAAATCTTGATGCCGAGAAGACTGCTTTTCAACTCGGGGCCGATCTGATCTAATCGCCTAATGCAGGGCGCAGGGCGGATGGCGGATGGCGGATGCACCACGTTCGTCCGCCCGGATGACGATGAAACCCAGAGCTCTCAGGGCTCCAACAGCGCCCACACTAGCATTAGCATCTCACACCAAAGCTGCCTCCGACGCTCCACTACCACCACACGGAATGTCCGTCTCCAGTTGTATCAGTTAACATCTCCCATTACCTTTCTATTCACTTCCCTACCGCATTCACATCCTCTTACCTCCGCATACTTCCGCGCCACTCCGTTAGGCGCACCTCCCCGTATCGTATAGAGGCATCCATCAACATGCCAGCGAGCGACTATGATGTCCGCGCTCTTGCGCTCCCTCTAGACGACGAAGGAACTGGTCAGACGCCAATATGGAGTCGACGCCCGCAATCATCTACCTTCCGGCGCAACGCATCGCACCACAGTCAACAGACCTCATGGCGGCAGCGCGCCATGGACAAGTACGATACGCTTTCGCGACGAGTCCTCGATCAATATAACAAACTTTCACCCCTGCAGAAAGTGCTGTTCTTCGTAGGGAACTTGGTGCTGGCAGTGGGCGGCATACTGTTCTTGGTGTACAACGAGCGCATATTCGGGGCCCTGTTGCCCGTCGCGAAGAAGTGGAGAGACGTGACGGCCGGATGGCTGATCCTCTGGGTCTTGATCTTCATCGTATCATTTCCGCCATTAATCGGGTATTCGAGTTTACTCACCATAGCCGGCTTTGTCTATGGCTTTCCCAACGGGTATGCTTTACACGTCATTCACAACATGCAATCTAACATTAGACCAGTTGGTTCATAGCCGCGACAGCAACCGTCGCCGGCAGCACAGCATCCTTCCTCCTCTCGCGTACCCTCCTCAAGTCTATGGTCCACCGCCTAATAGCGAACGACACGCGCTTCGCTGCCCTCTCCCTCACCCTCAAACACGATGGCCTCAAACTCCTCGTCATGTACCGCTTATGTCCGCTACCATACTCCATCTCCAACGGTGCTGTCGCAACCTTCCCCACCGTACACTGGGCATCCTACGCTCTAGCCACAGCCATAGTATCACCAAAGCTGATGCTTCACATATTCATCGGCAGCCAACTCGAGAAGATTGCCGAAAGTGGAGGCAAGATGGACCCCAGCACAAAAGCCCTATCCTACGTTTCCATCTTCATTGGTCTCGTTGCGGGTGTTACCACAGGCTGGCTCGTATACCGCAAGACCAAGGCCCGCGCTGCACAGCTAGAAGCTGAAGAGCGTGCGGGTATCCGTCGCATGAGTATCGAGGACCTTGAACATGAATACGCGGATGACCCGGGAGCGCTGGAAGCTGCCGAGAGATTACGCGAGGAGGATGACGATATCAGTCTCCGGACCACGTGGGACGATGAGTACAGAGATGAGCCACCTGAGACAGGTGATGCCGTGGAAATCGGCGACGATCCTTTCAAGGATGGCGATGCCAGTGACGGAGAAGAACGGGGACGCGGAAGGCAGAAGTAGACGCATTTGTATACGGTCCTTTTTCTTAGATCGCTTGGATAGGCGAGTACCTACTATAGACCACTAGAATTGAATCCGCATTGCCAAATGTCCTTCCCTTTCAACCATATGGTAACACAGGTATCATCTGGTTACCAGCCACGAGAATAGGGTCTGAATTCCACTCCGTATTCCAGAATTCTACATGCCGTTTGCCTGTTACAGACAAGCTTGCGTGTTCAGATAATGTTTCATACTGGCCCCGGGAGGTATTCGGTGATTCCCCCATGGACAGAGGTGTGGGGTATGAAGCAATGTACGTATACACGATACCCCTAAGCTGTTCGGATGCTACCCAAAATGATCACCGTATGCTCCAAGACGATAGCCAATTATAGTAGAAATAAACGAGTTCTACGTACATCAGTACTTCTATGAATGGTCACATACATCAGGCACGTAACAAATATAACAGAGGAAACGTTCATTTGTCATATACAGAGCCTCCACCATCCCACTTCCATGAGCTGAAAAAGAGCCGTATATGTACCGCTAACAGGAGCACAGGGAATCACAAGAGGTATTCGTCGACCAAGGTAGGCGTGCGTTGCCAGGCTGATGTCAATGCAGAAAAACGAACAAATCTTCCATATTGAGACACAGCTGATGGCGAGGACGCATCTTCTATTATACATCTATTCTCAAAGACCAATCAGCACTTTTTTGGCCCCTCAGAACATTGGAATAGACAGTACCCACTCTTCCAGCCTTCAACTCATCTATGCGGCGAAGCTCTTGGTGAAGCTCTGTGCAACCTCCCTCAGCTTGGACTCGAGGTCCTTGCTGAGCGCACCTTCCCGGTCGATCTGGTTGAGCATGTCCTGCTCGTTTGATCGGAGGTGGGCAAGGAAGTCAGCCTCCCACTGAAGAATCTTGCTGACGGGTACGGAGTCGAGGAGACCGTTGATACCAGCGTAGATCAAAGGAACCATCTCGTTGACGGCCATGGGAGAGTACTGCTTCTGCTTGAGGAGCTCGGTGAGACGCTCACCGCGCGACAAAGTTTGCTTCGTCGCAGCATCGAGATCGGAACCGAATTGGGCGAAAGCAGCAACCTCACGGTACTGGGCCAAGAAGAGCTTGAGGGAACCGGCGACCTGCTTCATGGCCTTGACCTGGGCAGCGGAACCGACACGGGAGACAGAGAGACCGACGTTAATGGCGGGACGGATACCCTTGTAGAAGAGCTCGGCCTCCAAGAAGATCTGGCCATCGGTGATGGAAATGACGTTGGTAGGAATGTAAGCGGACACATCACCACCCTGGGTCTCAATGACGGGCAGAGCAGTGAGCGAACCACCACCAAGCTTGTCGTTCATCTTGGCGGCACGCTCAAGGAGACGAGAGTGGAGGTAGAAAACGTCACCGGGGTAAGCCTCACGACCTAAACGTTGTCAGTGTATGTCACATATGCAGTTCGCACAGGGATAACAAACCAGGAGGACGACGGAGAAGCAGAGACATTTGACGGTAGGCAACGGCCTGCTTGGTCAAGTCATCGTAGATGATCAAGGCGTGCTTGCCGTTGTCACGGAACCATTCACCCATGGAGCATCCAGCGAATGGCGCGATGTACCTGACGTTGTGTTAGTCAATGTCTCATATCAGCTCACGTCAAGCAAGTAAAAAACTGAACAGGCCTGCAGCCTACATCAACATGGAAGCACACAAGATATGTGACCTGGCGTTGATGTAGGCTCCAGAGCTGTGCAAGTTTTTTTTCTTGTATTTGGTGAGCTCGTACAGATAGAACTTACTGCAGAGGGGCGGCCTCAGAGGCGGTGGCGGCAACGATGATGGTGTACTTCATGGCGTCGTTCTCCTCAAGGGTCTTGACGAGCTGGGCGACGGTGGATCGCTTCTGACCGACGGCAACGTAGATACAGTAGAGCTTCTTCTTCTCGTCGGTTCCCTTGTTCCATCGCTGTCTGATCTTTATGTCAGCTTGTGTTCCTTGTAGATCGTAAAGATGTTTGCGTACTGGTTAAGCATGGCGTCGAGGGCAACGGCGGTCTTTCCGGTTTGACGGTCACCAATGATCAACTCACGCTGACCACGTCCAATGGGAACCATGGCGTCGACGGACTTGAGACCAGTCTGGACGGGCTCCTTGACGGACTGGCGGGGCAGAATACCGGGGGCCTTGAGCTGAGCACGGCGGCGCTCAGTGGTCTTGAGGGGGCCCTTTCCGTCGATGGGGTTACCGAGAGCGTCAACGACACGTCCGAGAAGAGCCTCGCCGACGGGAACGTCGACAATCTCTCCGGTACGCTTGACGGTCTCGCCCTCCTTGACCAAACGGTCAGAACCGAAGAGCACAACACCGACCTGGCCGGCTTCCAAGTTCATGCACATGCCCTTGACACCGGAGGCGAACCTGTCACCCCGTTAGCTTCCATGGCAAATTGTCGTGGTATGCAAGTGGCGTACTCGACAAGCTCCTCAGCCTGGACGTTGTTCATGCCGTGGACACGGGCAATACCGTCACCGACGGACAGGACACGTCCAGTCTCGGAGAGGCTGTTCTCCTCCTGGACACCGCGGATCCTCTGCTCCAGGATGGAGGAAACCTCGGTGGGGGTGGCCTTCGCATCGGCGGCGTAGGATCGGATGGCGTTGGTGAACGCGGGAGCGCGGGTCTGTGGGCGGGCAAA